CGGGCGAGAAGGCTGGAGGAGTCGCTGGCGCGGCTGGAGGAAGGCGGTGGGCGGGAGTGATGTCTTTGATCGTGCGGGCGTAGGGAGCAGGTATGTTTTGATTCTGAGAATGCTGTGAGGAGTGTATTGACGGAAGGCTAGGGGTTGCTTGTTTCGGGGAAGGATGGACAGCGTAGTGTACCGCATTCGTTCGTTTTGCAAAGTGTTTCTATATCGGACGCTCGGATGTTGTATTGATCGTGCAGCGGAACCAACTCTCCTCTGCGCTGCTGACATAACCCTTCTCCCGCAGCCTGCGGAGCGCTATGTCTGACTCGATCACCAAGTCAGTCTTTCAGCGCTTTCCGCTCTGACGCTTCCGCGACGCGCCCAAACAACCATTCATACTCATGTTCTCCTCTCCCCCTCTTAACTCGCGCCTTGGCACAGCACCGACGCCCCCTCCCCCTCCCTCCCGCCTCTCACCATGGCTTGCCTCCCGCCACCCCCCATGACTTGCCTTCCTCCCCCCATGACTTGTCTACCTCCGCCCTGCTACACCCCGTCAGTCGAAGCTCCGTGCTATTCGCTCGAGCCGGGTCCGACTGAGCAGCGTCTCGCGCTCGCCGCCTTCCGCCACGGGCGTCGGTCCACGCCAACAGGCGTCTTCACGCGTAAGAACAGTGCCATCTCTCTCGCATTCCGCGACCAGGAAGAGGGTATCCCGTACCCCACGTACGGTCGAGGCGCACTCGTGTGTGGCGACATTGCGCTCAAAAATCCCCAGAACGTCCTTTCCGTGACGGTCAAGGTACGTCATGCATTGGCCCCTGGGCCACGGATATTCATCGCCCGCGTAGTTGGAGGGTCGCTTGAGTCTCACCCTCACTGAGGGCATCAGCAATGTCCGCACGTTCCTCAGCACGACGAGTACTGTCTGGAAAGCAGACGAGGGGTCTTCGTCCGCGTGTCCGAGTATGTTCCCCTTCGAGGTCATGCTCCCCGTCGGTTGCCAGGACGTCGACCGCGTCCGCCCGCTGCCCCCGACGTTCAACTCAGCGTACCCCGGTGTCCCGGACATCTTCATCAACTGCAACTACACGCTCACCGTGCGCGTCGTCAAAGCACGCAATCTCAAGTTATGGAAGCCCCAAAAGACGTACGTGCTGCGCAGTTATTCGCCTCGCCGCTAGAACTTACCCAGCGCGCTTAGTCTGCACGTGCAGATATTGTACAGGCCCCGCACGCGCCCTCATCAGCCGATCCTTGGCTCGCCATTCCCGTTCTACTCGTCCATCAAAAGCCTACCTGAGGAGTGGCACCAGGTGGTCTCTGCGATGCCCGTACGGCCTGACTCAGGAATTGCGCCACTGGAGTGTCACGTAAGGCCCACTTCCTTCGCGATGATTCGTTTTTACTCACGACCAGTTATAGCTCTTTATACCTGCGGTGCAAATCTACGCGCTGACCGACACAATTCCCTTCTACCTTCAACTCCACGCGCCTCCTTCGTCCATCCAGGCGTTTCTCTATACAGCCCCGCCACCCTCGCCTAGGCTCAGTCGCTCGAAGTCGCGCACTGAGCCGCCAGCGCAACCTACTGTGCGGGTGTACATTTCCAGGCAGATCACAGCGTTTGTCAACGGGCAACGCGTAACTCGCTCGTGTCCTATTGGCGAGGGAACGCTGCGCTCGCTCCCGCCGGATGCAGCTGCGAGCTCTTCAGTACTGCGTACGCCTGAGGGAGGATGTGGGTCGTTGGAGTGGGAGGGCGAAGTGAAATGCCGTCCAGACGTGAACGTAGGCGGCTTCAACGTCGGGAAGCTGGTCGTCCGGGTACGCAATTTGGGCTCAAATCTATATATTCTGCGACTGAAGCTGTCTGACTATAGGATTTCATCGCGCTGCACCTTGTCCCCCCACTTCCTGCATCGTCGCCTCTGATGGAACACAAGCACCAACACTGTATCCGAATGGTCACCGATTCCTTTCTCGACAACCCAGAGCCAACTCAGGAGGAGCCCCTCTTTTCATAGCGACCCCCCGCATCCCCCTTCTCCCCCTCACGCTGTTCTTTATTCTGATATCTCCCCTTTCGCTTTCACTCCGGTTCTTTTATGACGGGTTATGATTTCTTTTCATCTTTTTCTCTGGGACACCATCGCATTGCAAGAAGCATTCGAAAACGAAGTATCTTAACCCTCTCACTTATTCAACCGTCTACTGGTTGTGTATCGCCTCCTCTCCGCGCTACCTCACAATTTTCCCTCATCACATATACATATACGTCGACATCATGATCTTCCCCTGGCCTGCGCAGGCACTGTATTTTAGTCAATCTTCAGGATCTTCTCTTCCTGATCCATGTAAATATACGCGTACGGGCTTCTCCCACATCCAACTCTCATGATAGTCAGCCTCGACGCATTGCCCAAGAGATGGGTAATGTACCATCATCTTATTCACGATCTCTTGCGCGACCTTACGGTGTGGTTAGGCAGGACGGGCGCCTATCACTGTAAGTTTAGATCCTGTAACCCGGCGTGCCTTCTTTCAGTCACCGGTCGACATACTTACCATGAACGCAGTCACAGCTATCACTCAGCGGTTCTGCATTCTGCGCCTCGGAAAAGAGTACCGACCGCAGAATTCATCTCCGGGAGCACTCCACGCCTCTCGCACGCAAATCTTCACGCCGCGGTCCACAAAAGTAGAACCTTGTAATACTACCGCGTTTCACTAACCGCAGGACGGTTCGTCCGAGCAACCCGTTGCCGGTCCCGATTTACTCACTGGTATGTCCACAGGACGCTTGCATTTCTGACCATCAGTCTCGGATCCACTGGCATGCATGCGTGGAATCGTAGCTGCCAGCAAGATCGTGCCATGTGCAAGAATATTATCGCGGCGCGTCCGCCGTCTATGTCTTAGCCTGCCCGCCCATGGCTGACGCGCTCAGCCCCATCCCAAATCGCCAGTCATGGATGCGCGCGCTGCTGCCACCCGTCCCCACGGCTGCGCTGTTCCTACCTCCACCTTCCTACCCCCCTCCCCTCTTCGTTTCTCTCTCCCATCCCCCACCTTCCTCTTACCGCAGCCATCATCATGTATATTCCTATGCTTGCCGCTCTGGGACTGGCTGGCCAGGTCCTGAAGCGCGCTGGGACGGTGGACTCGTACGTCGCGACGGAGGGCCCGATTGCACAGGCCGGGCTTCTCGCAAACATCGGGGCGAGTGGATCGAAGAGCCATGGCGCCAAGGTACAGTCATCCATACCTCACTCAATTTATCTCGCTCGCTTGCATTTCTGGAACGCTGACACGGATATCCATGACCCGCAGGCGGGCATCGTGATCGCCAGCCCGAGCACGCAGAACCCGAACTACCTGTACACATGGACGCGCGACTCGGCGCTCACGTTCAAGCTGCTCGCGGACCAGTACACGACGGGCGTCGACACGAGCCCCGCGCTGCGCGGGCACATCGACGACTACGTCGCGGCGCAGAAGATCCTGCAGCAGGTCCCGAACCCGAGCGGGAACGTCAACACCGGCGGCCTCGGCGAGCCGAAGTTCAATATCGACGAGACCGCGTTCACGGGCGCGTGGGGCCGGCCGCAGCGCGGTGAGTGCTTGCTTGACTTGTGCTGTGCGGGTGGATTTTGACGGAGGCTGACCGTGCGGATCGGTTGGAATGCAGACGGCCCGGCGCTCAGGTCGATTGTGATTATGACTTATGCGAACTGGCTGCTGGATAATGGGAACTCGTCGTATGTGAAGGCAAGTCTGTGGCCGATCATCCAGCTCGACGTGGACTACGTCGCACAGAACTGGAACAAGACGACGTGAGTACTTGCTCTCTTGCGTACCTCATCTCTTCGCGGCTCATGTTTTTGGGGCAGTTTCGATCTTTGGGAGGAAGTCAGCTCTTCGTCGTTCTTCACCACGGCTGTGCAGTACCGCGCTCTGCGCCAGGGCGCCACGCTCGCATCGAAGCTTATGAATACTGCTCAGAATGCGACGTACAGCACGCAGGCCACCAAGGCCTTCGCGTTCATGCAGGTTCGTCCGCCTGCAGCGTTTATTGAGTATCGCCTAATAATGCCCCAATTATTACAGTCATACTGGAACCCGACGCGCAACTACATGACCGCCAACACGGGCGGCGGCCGCTCGGGCATCGACGCGAACACCGTGCTGACCTCGATCTACATGTTCGACAAGACGGCCGGGTGCGACGCGACGACGTTCCAGCCGTGCTCGGACAAGGCCCTCGCGAACCTCCTCGCGTACTTCCAGTCGTTCCGCTCGATATACACGATCAACAAGAATGCGCCTGCGAATGGGGCTGTCGCGACTGGACGGTATCCCGAGGACAGCTACTACGGCGGCAACGTGCGTGTCTCACCTACCTTGCCCTATTTTGATTTTGGCTGAGTCTGAGACGGCTGGGTTTCTGATCCAACAGCCATGGTATCTCGCCACTGCTGCTGCCTCTGAGCAGCTGTACGATGCCGTCCAGACCTGGCAGAACACGAGCCAGGTCGTGATCACCAGCACCTCGCTCCCGTTCTTCAAGTTCCTCCTCCCAGGGTCGACGCTCACCACGCAGACCTACGCGGCGCCCTCCGCGGAGTACAACAGCATCGTCAGCGCGGCACAGGCGCTCGGGGACGGGTTCCTCGGCGTGCACGCGCAGTACACGCCGGCAAATGGGGGCCTGGCGGAGCAGTATGACAGGAACACGGGCACGCCGAAAAGCGCGGTGGACCTGACGTGGAGTTATGCCGCGGTGTTGACCGCGATTAGGGCGCGTGGGGGCGGGGGCCAGATGAGCTGGATGGCGGGAGGTATGAATGCGAACTGCTGAGGCTGAAAAGGAAATAGGCTTTGTCGGCGTGTGGAGACCTGTAATGTGTGATGCTACATGTTATTTAGGGGCTGCCTTTGTTTTACGAACGACCAGTCGACAGGCGGGTTTCGAAAGCCAAAAGATGATCATTATGTTGCATCCCGTTATGCTGCCCCAGAGAGGCTCGAACTCTCGACCTTCCGATTATGACCTAGGAAACTCGGTAGGATCCAGGTTAACAGTCGGACGCTGTAACCAACTCAGCCATGGGGCAGGTGTCATGGTATGTACCAGCGACATACTCATCAACAAAGCATTGCCTATATCATTGATGACTCCAATTATTAATTCATGGCAAGGATGCTAAATCACCTCTTCTGTGTCGAGTTGGCATGAAAAACTCCCAAGTTTAACGAGAGCATGGTTTGAGTCTGAAGGCGGTGGGTCGGGAACGTCGGGCACGGGGGCTGCCGGATGGAGCCTGGGCATGTGACGCAGAGATGGTGCGCAGCGCGTCTCTTGTCCAGCCGCCTTTGCGCTCCTGCTGCCTGTCCATGTCCTGACCACCTTGCTCCTCGTGCTGCACATCTCCACAGCACTCCCTCTCCACAATGCGACTACCAAATTTTATTGTCTTCGTCCTCATATCGCTCGCTCTCGAGGCCCACGCATGGCCCTTCGATTGGCTCCGCAAGGTCTCGGCATCATTCCAGACGGACCATGGCTGGTTGTGGGGGTGGGCACTAGGTGCAGACAGCACCGTCTCCGTCGTAGACCGCTTCCCGCCCATATCCTTCCTCGCAAGACCTGCATCGTTTGGCGCGGACCTAGTGGATCCTCTCCTTGGATACGTACTCCCCCTGAACACCTTCACCGTTCCCTGCCCCGGAGACGACGACGACAGCGACGGCGATGGCGAACATGATGGCACGCGATCGAATCTTACGCTTGGGTGGTCATCGGCGTCAAATCTAGGTTGTCCGAAGCTTTGCCTCGCGGGCCCGCACGCGCCAGAAGGCATCGAGTCTTGGATTGCGCTCGTGCAACGCGGCAAGTGCCAGTTCGTCGACAAGGCGCGCGAGGCGCAGCGCCTCGGTGCCAAGGGCATCGTTGTAGGCGGCGATGATCCGGAGCAAAGCGGCAACCCGGACGCATTGGTGAATATGTACAGTCCAGGTGAGTATGCGAAGCGGTCACCGGGTCTTCCTCGCGTTAACATCGTGTTTAGAGGATGCTTCTGATGTCGGCATACCTGCGGTTTTTATCCGTTATACGGACTACATGGTGCTCGCGTCGCTCATCGCAACGTCCAATACCTCGCACTCGGGTTTGCAGACGCTCCCGCTGCTCCTGAGCTCGGAATACTCTGGATGGCAGTGGTACTCGTCCGTTCATCATAATGATGGTTTTCATTGGCTGACGTTCGTTCTAGGCCAGTGCTCACGTTCCTCACCATACTGTTCATTCCATCATCACTTACCTTCTTGACACTTCTTGTTCACCGCATTCGTGCGGCACGTGCCGCTCAACGTGAGCGTGCGCCAGAAGACCTTGTCCAGCGCTTACCGTGGCGAGTTTGGACGGGCACCACCTGGGAGAAGCCGGACAGCGCTGGGCACACCAAAAGCGCGGTCAATCCTCAGGATGTGGATGTCGAACTCGGTGAAGCACCAGCTGGCCCTCCAACACCAATTCCCGTGGAAGAAGAGGAAGAAGATCCTGCGTGGTTCCTGTCTCAGGATGAATGTGCCATCTGCTTGGAGCAGTTTGTCCGAGGCGACCGCGTGCGCGTTCTTCCTTGCAAGCACATCTTCCATCTGGAAGAAGTTGATATATGGCTGATTCACCGAAAGAAAGTGGTACGTCTTCTGATTCTAGGCTTCGCCGTTCCTTTGTGATGCGTAGCCTCGTGCGCTAATGACCTTGATTCAGTGCCCTGTCTGTAAAGCAGATGTGACTCACCCTCATTCTTCGCACAAGCATCCCCTTACGCCACCACCCGATAATGATGGAACTCTACCTGACGTTCACGACGAACCACCTGCACCGCCCACTACGCCACCACCTACGGAGCGGACACCCTTGCTTCATCAGACCCCATGACCCCCTCTCCACACAACGGCAAACCTACGTTACCGATACCCCTGAGATAGTGCTCATAATCATCTTGAAGTGTTGTACGAAGTAATGTATACTACCATTTTTCTTGCTATGACGTCAAGAGGAAGGAAGGTAGTATTCTCCTCCTATCGTAGTCTGGAGTTGCACTGCCTGCAGGCTGCGTTGTGACAGGTAATCGACCGCTCCGGAGTGGTTCTTCGTAGGTCAGTCATGAAAGTTTCTCGGTGTCTGCCCCCGTTCTGTGATTTCTAAAGTGTCTTGTAAAGATTCAGTGGCGTCGCCGAGTTGTGCCGCCCGGGCTATCCATTGTGTCCCTGTTTTAGTGGTTCATCACCTTGGCTTAACTACCCTGGATAAGGCCCGCGGTGTCGAGCAGGGGTGCCGCGATGGAAGACGGTGTCATGAAGGACCTTAATCCAACTATGGAGCCGTCAAGCGCCCGTTATTGTCTTGCGCAAAGCCTTCGGAACCATCTTTCCGGAAAAGGGATATGCAGCAGACCGTCTCAGATCGCAGATGGCCCGATGGACCTTGTCTATACAACGACGCAGCACGCTCAGGCACACGCGTGAGCACAGAAAACAATTGCGGGCCCGGCCACGCGCGCGTATGCGTGATGGGCCCGCTTCGCACTTATTGTCTTGCGCTGCCGTCCACAAAGCCGCGTATGAGAACAAACTCTGATGCGCGGGTTTCCGGCACGCAGGGCGGTGATTCGGGCGAGACATCTCCTTGTCTGGGTGGGCGCGCGGGCGGCGAGCGTGGCACCGGTCTCGCTTTCGCTCTGCGCTTGTGCGCACGCGAGACGCAAGCGAGCCCACCTCGCTGACCTTATTTAAATGCACACTGGCATGGGTACGTAGCCAGCTTTCGCCTTTTGCCCCGCACGAACAGGTATCTAGGGTATCCACCTCCGCACCGTACCTGTTGATCCCGAGGTAGGTCGCTCTTTTTGTTACCTTCTCTGATGCGCGCTTGGGGATAGATTGAGTTCGCGATCGCCCCGTATGCCAGATGGATATCTGATTTCATTTCTGCTTCTTATTCTTTAGAAAAACGATATAAGCAGCACCGTCCTGCTGAGTACCGAGTCAGAACACCACACTATGTACGACTCTCCGAACAGGAACATGACTTGGACTCGCGCGTCCGCTCCCCTCGCTGACAAGCGCCACTGTAAGTCGTCCCTCTGCCTTGCATATACTGCCATCCCATCCTAACATACATGTGTCGGTGAGTAGCCAAACCGTGCAAGTTCTTTCAGAGGGGCGCCTGCGCCCTCACCGCTGAGGAGTGCAAGTTCGCACACGTCAAGCAGTTTTCGCGTCACACAGGCATCCCTCGCATGCAGCAGCCGTGCAAGTATTTCCTCGCCGGCCGTTGCACCCTCGGGGAGTATTGTCGCTATACGCATCCTAAGGAACTGATCGTTCAAGGTAAGCTCGTGTGCACGCTACGTCTACCCCATCGCGCCTTACTCACGAACTGCACAGGAAATGCCACCGCTCCTGGCGTGAAGCGCCCCTCTTTCGACATGCCCAATGCATTCGAAGGCCATCAACCTGAATACTACTGTAAGCCCCTCGCACCCAACCCCACCTACCCACAGCTCACCCCACCCCAGACGCAACCCCCACCGCCTCCCCCCAATCCCTCCACAGCCAGCTCTACGCCCCCGCGCCGCTGCCCTCACCCGCGCTCACCGAGCTCTCGCACCTCATCCTCCGGGACGACTCCGCGCACTACAGCCCGAGCGACACGGACGCAGACGTGCCGAGCCTCTCGCGCTCCGCGCGCTCGTCGCCGTCCGCGCAGTCCAGCGACATCCCCGACGACTCGGAGCCCGCGAGCCCGGACGACGATGCGCACGCGTTCCCGTACACCCCGCGCGCGTGGGCCGCGTCCCCGCCGCCCCCGCCCGCCGCGCTGCTGCCTGTCGGCGCGTGCTTCGCAGCCGGCCCGTTCGGGCAGGCGTACCCCGCGGTCTACGGGCTGCAGCCGCTCTCGCCGCCTGCGGCCGTGCGCGAGCCGCTTCGCTCGCCGCGCGCGCATGGGGGCGCACGGCGCGGCAAACTGTTTAAGAGTACGTGCATCCCTCGCGCTCCGTTGTGCTCTGTGACTAACTGCTTCGATCGTACAGAGAAAGAATGTAAGTACTACCGCGCGCACGGCTGCTGCCCGCGGGGCGAGGACTGTACCTAGTATGTCTCTGCGTATCGACTAGCGTGTGCAGAGCGAATGCTAACGACGGGTACGGTCGATAGTGTGCACCTGACGCCGCGCGTGTCCGTCAAGTCGCCGCCGTCCCTGCCGCGGCGGCCGGTGAAGGACATCGAGGAGCAGCATGCCAAGGGCTACTATCCCATCATGTGGCGCGTCATTGGCGGGGGCGTTATGATGGGTGGACAACGTAGGTTTCTTGCTTGTGATTGAGAGCTATGGCTAACCGATGTTGGTGGTACAGGCGAGGTCTGCCAGCGGTATTTGCGTGGCGAGTGTGAGGAGGGGCTGGATTGTCGGTTCGTGCATCCGGGAGGTGGGTTGTTTGGTTTTCTTTTTGTGTATCGGCGACCGACGCTGACTTTATATGGCTTGGGCAGAGGAGAACCCGGCGCTGCTTGTCGACAGCTTGTCCATTGAAGCCGAGGAACAGACTCCTCGAGATATCGTGCCCCCCGCGCCCCAAGAAATGCCTGAGGACAGTGTGAAGCCCGCAGCCGTAGCCCCGCTGAGGATCACGATCCCCGCGCCTGAGAAATACCTCCCGGACGTGTCGCCGACGCTATTCCAGCGCGCCGAACAGGTCGAGGATGAATACTCCGTTACAGACAAGTCGAGCGGCACGTTCCCTGAACGTCCGCATTCGACGCCGCCGTGCCTCTCGAGGCGTCATTCCAAGGTAGTTCAATGTCTTTCCTGTAGAGTGACGTTTACTGAACGCGTTTATGCAGTCCGCATCCAATGCACCTGCGCTTCACTAATGGCTGAGGCTCTCCTTTCCAACGTCTACTCTCGCGTACCTCCATCCCATGCCTGCACGACGTCATCAGCATCTTGAGCACCGGCTCAAGCACGTATACCACCTTCGCCTTCGCACCCGACTCCACTTGTACCACTCGCCTCACTTTGCCCACTTGACTCACTTGTTCCACT